CGTGCAATGTCTGGTGAGACTATTGGAACAAAAGTAGTGATGCTAAAAAAGAAATATTATAGCCAATAAAATCTTGCATTAGTTCAAGCTCTACTAAATTTGTGGTCAGTGATGTTGAACCATGGTACCTCTTCGTATTAAGATTAATTAATAGTTGAATAAAGTTGTCTTATTATTGCAGAGGAAAAATTGAATCAATGTGACGTGTGTGGAATGGTAGTTGATTTTAGGCTTTAAAATGCTCCAAAATAAAATTATTTTACTATTTCTTGCAAACATTAACAATGAGTACTAAATAATTAATTATTTTATGTAAATTTTTGTGAGGATGTCACAAAATTTACAAAAATATTTTTTTCCAAGAAAAGCTGTAGTTACTTTAATCTCAACTTATGTAAATTTTTGTAAATGGAGGATGTGTCACAAAATTTACAAAAAAATTTTTTAACAAGAAAAGAATACAGCATCATAGCTGTAGTTACTTTAATCTCAGTTTCTAATTGTGTACCAACCTACAAGGTGCAGAATATTGCTGCATCATGTGTGTGCATCAAAAGTTTTTTTAATAATTAATTTTTGTCATATTCTTACCAATGCATCTTACTCCAGCATCTTCAGCATGATTACAGTTGTGATTGGTAGAGTGAGTGCAGCTTATAAGAGTGGATTCAGTTCCAGTACAATGTACATTATCCATGACAATACTACCTGTTCCTTGTCCAAAGTAAGCACTACCAAAAGCAGTTCCTGAAACAAAAGAGGTATACCAATAAAAATTATAGCAATCTGTGTGTGTTGAAATAACTCTGGGTGTATTTCTAAAATTATGTGAAAAAATATACAGTTACATATTTATTTAGATTATATAGCAAATGTCATTTAGGTTTCAAATTCAAAAGGCTGGTCTAAATGTTGTACAATATTTCAGAATTCAAGAAATTGTACACACATCTTCACATAATAAAGATGAACATGAGCCATTGTGAATACTGTACAAGATGATTCATTGGCAAGCAAATAATACTGGCAATGGACAGTTCTGTGAAGAAATTGCCCATATAAAAAAATCTGTCATCTGAACTTGTGCAATAACAGGTGGCTATTATCTTGTGTATAATTGGGGCATGCTTGGGCGAGCCCCACTGTAGTAGGAGTCTTCTGTACATGCATGTATGTATGTACGTGTGTCTTCAATCACGCCCATCTTCTGGTTACACCCCATGTGTGCACTACTATCTATTTATCAGTCAATGATCTAATGCAGTAGCTCATTCTAATGAAATATTGTAAAAACACATGAAGCAAGAAGAAAGCTCGAGATCAACCTCAACAACCTAGCTGGAATGAAACGGATGCCCTTCTTCTTTTTGCTCAGCTCAGAGGGTTATGATGGCATCCCAGACTCAAGA